GTATGTGCCTTTATAGTAAAAAAAAATTGTCAAATAGAGCAAATCTTCGCGGACGTTTCACGCATCTTCTGAATAAAGGTATTTCAATAATTTAGTCACGTCTACATTTTCGACAGCTTTTATGTATGCATATATATGCGTACATTATACTCGACACCGTACTACTAAGCGATCCTTACACAATATTGTTATTGTTTGGTTAAACTGAAGACTGCGGGATCTTCTGGGAATATTTTAAGCTGTTATTTATACCATTTCTCATTCACAAAATGACGTCAAAGTTTGCCCAAAGAAGAAATGTATCTACCTAATTAAGATTCTGTACAATCTATGTTACGACGTAGTAGATCTGTCGTTCAGCTATAGCTGTATCACTTCTTATGAGATCCAAGTAACAATTCCGCTAATTTCATTAAGGAAGTTCATAACTCGTCGAAACTAACATAAATCGAAAATGAGTTTATACCTATTAGCTTTTCTCATGAAGCTCTTTTCAGTCTAAAGCACTTATTGGCCTTCCGTAGGGGAAAACCCGTTAAATGCATTTACGATTAGTTACACCAGTCGCGTTAGGGCAGGCCATTGGATTAAGACCACGTGCCCAGTACTCACACAGAAGGAACCGCAAAGTGAAGTGCTGATACGAAATAACTAATATATACACTGCGAGCCATGGTTACCTATATTATTCTGCATCTCGCATTTTGAATGTTTCCCTCCGCTCGCATTCGGCGGTTCGGTTCCCTATATGAACTAACAGCTTATTGTAAACGGCCGTGCTAGGGGTCCTTGTTACTAGGCTCATTTATCCTATCACTCTTAGGGGGGAAAAGCGAGCTGAACATCAGTCACACTGGTTACTGCAGGAATATAAGTGACACGTCGCGGAAAAGGATGCGTAGGTTCCCAAACGGCGTTGGTCAATATCTACTCGGTGTTTCATAACCAGACAGTACGCACATTAGCGTCTTTCCTGTGGCGGTCCATCTGTTATATATACTGCGGGGCTATATAGCACAAATAAATTAGTTGCGTATTATTTACTTGGCATAATAAGCTAATTGAACTGTGTAAATACGTTTAGAAATAAGTTGATCTTCCTGTCGCTCAATAAACCTAATGATCCTCCCCTTGCAGGAGCAGCCATGGTGCCCATCACCGTTGGCGGGTTACTTCTCGTCACATCTAATCTGCCAAGCATTGCAAAAAACAGGTTCACAGTCACGTTTCTAAATATTCAATGAAGCTCGTCATACAATGCATTGGTCGTTATCGTAGAATATTGAGCAACATAACTAACTGAGTCCTGGTTGTGGACGATCATTCAGTAATGAATTCATTGGATATAGTAAGTTGGCCATGAGAGTGATGAGTCCAGCTAAAATCCCAAAAGCAAGCGAGCTTAACGGGTATGTAGTGTGGAGCTATCTCCGTTTATTAGGCGATCGTATTGTAAAATTAGTACCCGTCCAATATGCTTGTAAACATTTTCTATTTACTGATTCATGTCATGCAATATATGTCTTTGGCAAATTGACCCTACGATCCCTGTCCTGACCAAGCAGAGATTCAGCTGCCGAAATCACTGGATCGTTCGAACGACATAGACAAATTCCAACTTTTGCTTGTTCTACCCTATTGAATATGACTCGTTGTTTTATGGCAGTGAAAATTGTTTGGGAAAGTATTATCCTTTCGACATGATGCAATCACGAGGGGATTAACGTGCCCCTCGGGGCACATATAAATTCAAACTATAGTTGATGTGCGAGCAGTCTATAACGATAGAGAATATTCACCAAAGTATTTCTACATTTACATTACTATAATGCCATCTACCGTTATTGGGTCATGACGGTCATGTTGGGGTATACGATTACCGTTGTAATTTTCCAGCGATGGTAACCGGTCCTGTGTATGCATCCGTCCACTATTTCGAATACTCATCACTAGCCACCGCTATACGAAACTCACGTGTAGACTTCGTGCAGTTTCCTTTACATGCAGATGGTCAGAATTAATGTGTGATCAATAAAAAAAGAAAAACACGACTGCTTAGATTGTATTGAAAGATAATATTTTTCAGTAATACATCGTACAAACACTACTATGGACATAGCTCCCATTGTTCGACATATCAACTGTATATACAGGCGATAGCAATAGAGAACTAGGTCTAGTGACCGAAGCAATCAGGACTCGTGTATTTTTTTTCAGAGAAGGTCGAGGCTCCATAGCGCTCGTGAATTTTTCTGAAACCCATTATACACGTGTATTGGAGGAGGTTATGGGATGAGCTAGGATTGCTCGCGGCTTACAAACCATTAATTGTTTACAAATGATTTATTTTTCTTAAGTGAAGTGACTGGTTATCGGATCACCGTGTGTATCTGGACGCTAGTTTCATTGTCGACCGTACAGTTCCTACCGCTTTCTTGTAGTGCGCGCTGAAGAAATGAAATGAAGTTACTAATTTTAATTTTTAATGATACTCTATCTATTTTACATTACCATAGCAATATTATTTTGTATTAATACGATTCAAGTCATGATCCTGGTTGCCACAAGATTGGTACTGCATAGCCCAGGATATATTTTACTCTTATTAGACCCTTGACAGTTAGTATTGTTTGCTATATTTAGCCCAAAGGTAGCAGGTGTCTTGAAAACTGGGACTGTTTTTAACTATAGCCAGGGAAGTCCACAAAGCGCATTGGTTTTTCCCTCAACGCAGTGGGAGCTAATATCAGATAAACCCGATCTGAATTCCGTCTTAGGTAACGAAACCATTGGACTGAACGACTCCGGCTGTCTGTTTGAATGCCCTCGCTAAAACTACTTGCAGGCCCTGGTTCTATGTCACATTGTCCTTTTATCTTTATTGTCACATTGTACATTTGGCTGGGACTACTTTCTGGTTTGATCAAAGCTACGTTTTATCCAAGGTAACTGACTGTAACGCCGCCTGGCAAGAAAGCGCGTTCGACCACACCTTTCCAGATTTGATTACTTGCAGAAATGCAGAAATTAATCATCTATATTCATTGGTGTTTATTGTACTATAAAGACTTAGTTGAAGAATATACTTTCTAGTACGTGTCAGCGCTAAAAAAGGGAATCCTAGTTCCATCTATTGTTACGCACCAGACCGCTGAGAATTGCGCTAGCAGAGAAACTTTAAGGAAACAGCTTATTTCGCTCTGTCCTCTGCACAATGAATAATGATATTTACATAATTATTATGTTTGCACATAGCTTGTTTCACTGCACTTCTGTCCTATATCTTATTTACCATGCTTATCATATGGATTGTCCATTACCTCTCCCGCTTTCTATATATTGCCCGTTCTTACAATATCTTACATCGTCCGTCCTGGCTTGCTACGTCGATGTCCGCCTACAACAATCCAATACTAGAATGTAGTCGAACAGAGGGATACTATAAATTGGCGTAAAATACAACCCCGTAAATGAAGTCATGGATAAAATCCAACAACTAGCATATCTATTGTATTAACATTGCTATGAGATGATGAATACATATATTGATGGCCTTGGAGTGTATTTGTCTTACTTTCTATATTGTGCGAACGTTGTGACAGATGCAAATGTCAACACTGGTCCGGAGAAGGTACGAGCTTTAGATTTCGTTTTTTGAAATTAAAGTAGCGTAATGAAGGGCTCTCCCTTTCAAAAAGAACGTACCCAGTCCTACAGTAAATGTCTTAAACACTGCATTAAATGTATGATCTCATTTTTAGCTGGTAATGATTATACCAGTGCTGTTTGGCTACCCTTGAACACGAACTAAAAGGGTTCGTTTTTTCGATTTGGTGAAATGGTTTCGCCAGAAGCTTCGACTTTCTATTCGACTCAATCATTATACAAATATGGCTACAATCATTTGTTGTGGGGTTATGTATGATTAAGGGGTGGTATTGCAGATAGGTACACAGTACGCCTGTGGGTGCCATTAGCACCACAGGCAATATGTAGTGATAATACGAGACCAGAACGCTCGCATGCATCCATTTTGAAGGTCAAGTAAGAATGTTACTGCTACTTGTTGAACAGAACCATCGCGCACTGCCCAATTAATCATGACAACTATATACGTCCATCTTTGATTTGGCTCTATTTCCGATTTTCCTTTATTTATCTGTATCCAGAATGACTTGTAGTAAATTTATCGTGAATTTACTGAAAGCTTCCTGCTTCTCAGTAGCAATTAGAGCGATCTGTTAGTGGTCTGCAGAGACGAAACAGACAATCGATTTCCTCAGTATTAATCAGAAAATGACGAATCATCCGAAATCAACCAGGTGTCGGGCTGCTATTTTTTCATCGGAACTAGTACGGTACACCTACTTCCAACCCCGCCCGGGTGTCCCGCTACTTGCAATAGCGGCACCATCAAGACCAAAATACTACTTATAACAAGATCCAAATTTACAGATTTTAGCTAACCAGCTATCTAAAATTTCACTTGTGACATGGTGGAAACATCTGTGCTGACCTTGCGTTTAAAAGCTTAATATTGTCTCGATAAAATAATCATGCTTTAATGGCTTAGGCTCTATCGAGAGGGAGCAATGCTAATAATATACAGAAGCTAACACGAAACAAACCCATTGTGTTTGAAGCGCGTTGAATATAGTCATTATGCTATTACTACATGATGTAAATTATATTGTGACACAGTCCTGCAATGTTGTTTGGGTTTTTACCAGGTAGTGATGGGTTGACTTCGATAGAATTACAGGCGTTGACGTCGACGGACGTCTTGGCCGAATTGGTCGAGATCGTTAATTTAAAGTACAATAGATAAAAGGAGACACTAAGTGTAGAGGACATTCCGTAAATTATCGCTTTAGTGGAAGATTTGGCACGTGTTAACAATGTATGAATCTTTCAGTCCTAATTATGGCTGTTCATGTCTATCAACGTCTGCAATACTAACGTGAAAAAATGGCGTATATGTGTTTTTGTGCGGCCAACAGCAGGTGACGGCTGCAACACTCAACGGCGAAGTGGTCACGAACGTTCAGGTCGTAGGAGCAAGTGGGCCCTCTGGTGGAGCCACTCTTCTCAACGGAGCGCCCATGCCCGTTAGCAACGGTGCTCCAGTATATGCGAACTCCGAGTCACCGTCGCCGCATCCACCGCAACAGGCCACACCTCAGCCTCTTCACGCTAATTCACCCCATATGCATGTTTCCGATAGGTAAGCATAGGCAAGCTTTCTGTGCAGTCGATACGTTCTGCAAATTGTTTAGCGTTCATTATATTTTACCGGCTTTTAGTTCTTCGCTTCTTCAAGTTCTACAAAGAAAATGTCAGCCAAATAAATTTATCCAATGTAAAAATGAACAGATCCAATGAAACATTTGTCCCAGGTTACATGTTTATTTCCTAATCTGAATCATGCTTTGAGTTGATTTGTATGTGTAAGTCTTAATGAACAATTCTACGCCCGGTCGGGATAATAAATGTTACGAGGAATATGTTCCTAACGTTTTGTTCTACGTTTTAGAGCGCTTCCGACTCCTCCGGGCCGACCTCAAAGTATGCCGGCCGGAATACCGAACTCGTCCAACGCCTTCGTCAGAGGGCGCCATCGACCTACCCTGAGCCAAGCGCCGCCTTCACCCAGTCTCGGGGGCGTGACAGGAGTCGCGAGTCTTCCACCAGCGTCTCTTGGTCCGACCCCGCAGCCACCTGCTCTAGGCGAAGATTTCGCTAGAAATGAAGGTTCGTGTCCTTCGGAGAAGCACATTAGCTTCGATATAAAACTATAAATTGTATACGTCACCCCCAGCCTTATCGTATATCGATGTGAATCTGTTAGAACAAATGTAAATGTTTCATGTGCCAGTGCGATTTTATTCAGCCACGCTATTTCTGCGATAAGTATACCTACTTATGGATCAGTAGTCGATATACAGTTCATGGGTGATGTGAATTGTCGATTGATGGTTTTCGTGATGATTCGCTAGACAGACATTAAATAACGCGTCCCAATAATGCCACTTAGCGCAAGCTTAGATTGATGTATACTCCTCTGTAGTTTACCTAAAATGTTAAAGACAGGAACGTCCCCATGGAAACAATAGCACAATTTCTGTAATGCTTCTGGTACTACCCTTCAACTGTTCAAATCAGGTCATCAATTTTCTGCTCTTATGTTCCTTACGAATCTACCTTTCCCAAACCAAAAGACACTGATCGCTCCACCCAGAAAAAACTTTCTTAGCGATAAAATGACCCTAATATATGATGAACGATTATCGCAGTCTTCATACGTATACTGCTGTACTTAGATGGGTTTGATTAGTAGACCAATAACGGCTGCCACACGCCTGACTGTGTGAGTATTGTCAAAAGAATGGTTAGGAATCCCACCTACTGAATTATTTTCGATTTACTCATGACTTGTAAGAGTGTTTAAATTTTCATTAGGCCTTAGCATATAGGTCGATTGCATCCGTAAACTAATAACTATAAACAAATAGATATCGAAAATGTTTAGAAACGTTGTAAATGAGAAAAATTATGATAAAACGTGATATAGTACAGCAGCTATATCATCAGTGTTGAACTTCTGTTACAGTAATAAGAACGCAACTTTCACTCGAATATAAAATCTTCACGTACAGGTATACCTGATATTGACGCGGACGTCATCGGGGTCGCCGGTCCAGCGAATACCGCAGTTTTAGGAGGTGCACCTCTTGTGGGAGAAGGTGGTGCTGGACCAGGTCCTGCAGGTCCCCAGGGCGATATCCCTTATACAGTGATTTCGGTTCGAGAACCACTAGCTAATCTTCGTGAAGAGACTCACAGACTTCTCATGGAGCAGCAACAGCAGCATGGCACCGTTCATAATGGTGTCATGGGTAGCAACCATAATTCTAGTCAGGTAAGTGATGTCTACAAGTTTAAGTCCACGGGAATGCACATCTTACTGCGAGAATTCCTACCAAGTTTGAATTGAACAGGTATAAACAGGAGGAGGAAACAAGCAAATGTACGTGTACGACAGAAAGGTCCCGATTAAAATGACCTGAAGGCACCATGACCAAATGGAATATCGACACTGGCCTATGCTCGCATCTACATTCTGCGAAAAAATATAGTAGTCTGTTGTTCATGCTAAGATAGTAAAATACACCAGAAACCTATTCGCCTTGCCCAACTCATAAAATTGACGTTTATGGAAACGTTGAGTATCATCAGTTTCATTTGCTTCGCTAATACCCCTTACAGCAACAGCAAGGGTCAGCAGCAAATATCTCATCAGAGCCAGGAATCGGAGTAGTTAATGGAGTCGGTCTAATGCAGAGCCCATCGGATGGCAACGCCGGTTCTGGAACTGGAACAGAGCAGTACTACGCCATCGTACAGCCAATCGACGAAGAAATGTACGCCGAAATTGAAAGTGCGGCTTCGTCCGTCACTTACGCTCGTATTGAGCCGAGACAGGTAAGGCCATCAATCGAAAAGGATGTATGCCTATTAACCCATACCTTTTATGTAGGACTGACTTCTTCTCCAGGTGGCTTCAGAAAAAAAAAGAGTATTATATTTCCCTACACATTTCGGTCTTCAGAATGGTCCCCCCCGTATGGCTTCGCCACCCCTGGCTACCAACGACCCTGCACCGGCTAGTCCATCGTCGGTAGTGACAGTTGTGGACGGTAGCCCATCGTCTGTAGGACTTCACGTCCAAGGAGGAGTGCCCGCGCCTCCCACTGTTGAAAGTCTCCGATCAGTAGCACAAGCACATTCCAGACAAGGTAATAATAGGCTACAGGTAGGTCTGATTTTTCTACGGGTTTTAGGCTAATCATGAATTGAGAAAAAAAAAAGGTAAATGTTTTTTTATTCGTAACGAACAAATTCGAACGAGCTCTGTTATACACATCAGGTTAACCTCGATATATTGGCCCTCCATGTTTGCAGTTAGGTTGAACGAAGCAGCCACATGAAAAAAACTGGAATTTCTTAGCGATCTCCTTTTGTCCATAATTCAACTATCCCATATTCATTAAGTAAATAGAAAGCGCTATTTGATCGTCAAATTATGTCGTCTTGTAGACCAAAGAAAGTTGCCATGGGATCGATTTCACCGAGTGTCTGTTCTTTTAAAATACGATGTTATTTTATGCAGTACCTCGCCCAGTTAATATAGCCCTTTAGAATGAAGTCAAGATCTTAAGCAAAGTTAATTGTGTATATATTAATTACGCGCGAACGAGGTGAAATAACTACAGCTATTCTGTCTCGTATATCTACATCTGTGCAAAATAGAAAGGCACTGTTATATTGCCATGTTTCACGTGTCCGCTTTCGTATCTCTTATTTTTCTATTTCTATATTTCTATGTCTGTCTGTTTACGCAGCATCCACATCTTCAATGTTCGCTACAATGAATGGTGGCGTGCTGACGGTTGTGACTAACGGGATCACCGTAGCCTCGCAGCCAGGACACGTACCGACACCAGGATGCCTACCCAATGGAGACGTGAATGTTGTCAACAATCTGTACTCCACCGTAGATCGTTCACAGAAACAACCGTTGACACCTCAGCAACCGCACAACCATATTCACAGAAAAGTTTCCGAAGGTAAGCGGAAGAATATGCCTTTCCTTGCCTACGAGAGCTAAACTGAGGCACCGCAGGCGGCCACAAACTCAGAATCACGCACGTTACATTCTTTAAACATGAACGAGCGCTAAGTCAAGCGCGAATAAATGTTACGGTCGTATACTTTTAGAAAATTAAGCTGTCGTTGGATGAGAAAACTCATTGTGTATATGCATTTTTATTAAAAGAATGCAGTTTTGAAATACGAAGGATACAGGCACGATTCTAAATGTATGCGGATATAATGTTCAGGATAACGATTGTGGATGACGTAATTATTTGCTATGCCAATTTAATATTGTTTTGTTAAAAAGCGCAAAATATACCAAAGCCCATTTTCTTAGTTTGCTTTATTTGATGGGTTAAAGTTCGAGTCATCGTCAAATCGGAGTGATTTTTTTATAGAGTCCTTTTACTTTCCGAGTTCAGTCTCCTTAACGTTATTTTATGTTTATTTTTTAATATAATACTATACATTGACATGAATTTAAACAATTAATACAGGTCACAGTGGAGATAGCACGACATCTGTAGACCAACTGTACGCGAAAGTAGCGAAAAAATCTAAGCGGCCATCCCCACCCCCAATGCACCATCACGGTAACCACAACAACCACTTAATTCATAGTAAAAACCTTAATAGCCACGTGGGTAACAGTAACATGGGCACTCACTCGCCTCAGCCGCCAGTGCCCCCCGCGCATCCTCCCATTGGAGCAGCGGCTGTCATGGGCGTCAAATACGAGCACAACAACAATCACGGCCTTATGATGCTAGGCCATATCGGCTCGATACTGCCTCCGATGACGCTGAAACGAAAAAGTTCGCGAGCGTCACGCGGCAGCAGTAGCGGTAACGGAGTAGAGGATGATGACAACGACCCGTGCTACGAGATGGTTGGCGGCGGGTCGGGAACAGCTCCACCACTTGGCTTTGGGCTGCTCGATCAAGAAGAGCCCAAATACGAACGTCTTAAGGGGTACGTACTCAGCAAACCCAAGGATTCATGCAGAGGCTTGTTCTTGGCTAGAGATAGAATTGCGATGCAGAATTAGCGCAACAAAAAACATTCAGTGTATGAAGCAAGTTATTTAAAAGTGGTGGTTTTTAATAATCACGTCACACTGATTTGCTTTGTACGAATAAAGTCAGAAACAAAACTTTATCAATGCGTTTTATATTACTATGTGTTCCATCGGATTTCGTAGATGTCGAACTAAGCTTTAAATATGGCGCCATTGGTCGGAGGATAAATTCATCCATTTTAACGTAGGAGTATAATTGGTGCGCAACTCAATCATATATTATGTCCATGTCAAAGACAAGCGCGTTCATTTTCTTCGAATTGTTCAGATGTAGTGCATCGAGCGATATTGATCCGAATTACGAACTGTTATCGGGAGGACTTTCCAAGGAAGATCCATGCTACGAGGCGCTTGGCGGAAATGATAGTAATGCTGGAAGTGACGCGGATCCTTGTTATGAACGAGTACTTCATCACCCTCAGCTGCATCACAATGGCGGTCGAAAATTGCCACAAACGTCAGACGAGATAAATGACCCTAATTACGAAAGGTAAACAGACATAAACAAGCAAGTTAGATGAATTCGAAGAACTAAGATTAAGAACCTACTAAGGTGTCGGCTTGAATTAAGAGTTAACGTTTGTTGAGACAAAATCGTGTGTAACAAGTGTGAATATCACTACGTTTTCTATCCACTATATATTCAAGATGATCCCCACCGCTCCGTAGGCAATCAACCTCTAGCGGGCTATTCCTTGTTAGTGTTCTGTAAAAAAAAAAGCCCGGTTTTGGTCACTACAAATTTAGAAGTCCGACAAACTAGCCTGGCCCTTCAATTGTTTTTTGCCTTAAGCCCTCTAATCCATGTGATTCTACAGCGAGTAGCACTTCGGCGTACATGAACAAATTTTAGTTATTAATTTATCTATTCTTACAGATTGCCCCGTAGCGGCGATAGTGACGTGGAGCCGTGCTACGAGCGGGTTCGGCCCTCCCGTGATGACTCTTCCGACCTTGAAGTAGACCCATGCTATGAACGAGTAGGCGTCCCTAATAATAAACAGGTAAATATTTACTAAATACGTATTCGAATAAAACAAGTACGTAAGTGCGTATAGATGGAAAATAAAATTGGCTTGTGAAATGAACAGGTCGTCTTTTAAGTGGAGTGGTACGAAATGCCGACCTATGTGTTCAGTGAATGAAATTCTAACACTGTCCATTATAACTGTTGAACGTGTTATCTGCAGGTCTCAGAGCCACAATACGAAAGGGTCCGAAAACCCCAACGAGAAGACAGCCTCAGTTCGGATCCGGGTTATGAGACGGTAAAAAAACCTCCACCGCAACTGCCCGCCACAGGGCCCGTTCCGGCGAGCATGAACTCGAATGGTCAGCTCACAAATGGCAATGGGCAGGTTCGTCTCAATGGTCGTCCAGCCACACAACGAGCGCTTATAACGGTCAACTCGCACGTCTTGCATGAACCCGACTACGAAACTGTCAACACGCCCGAGATCGTCATGCTCTAATAAGTCTATATGAGGGGGCGATTTTCCCAGCGAATTAGCCGACGGTCAGCGAGCAATTTTTGTAGATTATATGGGAAGCATTCAACACTGAACATAACTACCGCCCTTATCCATGATTTCATACAAAATCCAGCCGGTGCTTTGGATCAGTTTCTAGTAACCACGGTAACTCGGTTCGGGCGTAATGCAGTTAGTAACGGCTCCATTACGTACAGCTGCTGGCTCGAACATCTGCGAAAATAAGCACGCAGTTATAGCCGAAACGATTTCGGCAGCATCAACAATAGTCAACACGTCTGTCAATCTTTAGGGGCGTACAAACTTCGCCAGGTCATCCTATAAATCTTCCCTGAACGATTAGTTCCTATAATCAGTCTTCTATTACAGTCAAATCGTGTCACAACCATCCTGTTCCAATAGCTTTGCTCGTTGGTAAACATTCATTCGACTGCACGTTTGAAACAGATAGCAAAACAAGCTAAAGCCTCAAGAATATATCATTCTTGCTCTGCTATAACATGCCTTTCGTTAGCGACATGCTATTCTTATTTTATACAGCGCAGCATTCTTAGAGAGACATCCTTGAGACGTTGCGCTGACAATGAGGCTGTACTTTCCATTTTAACATTACTTTAAATGTTATCGGACCCTTATTTATATTGAAATCAGGAAATCGTCGCGAGAAATCGAACATGGGTTATATATCGCTCGCTGCACCCTGATTTAAAGAAAAACTGCACAAGTCTTCTACATCCACATGCATAGACACCATACATGCTTTGTATATATGAATCGCTCGTTGTGAAGCCAACTGTAACATGCAATTATTATCGACTGTATATGAACATACACATTACTCCTTGATAACGGCCTGAGATATTCTAAAAGGCTATCCAGCCAGATTTATAAAATGTAAAGCGGCTTTTAACGGCAAATACTGAGGCTTAGAACACCTGAATGACGTTACAGTCGTCTGATTAAAACGCATCACTCCTGTGCTAATATATAGTACATATAAACAGGGTGTCCTCAATGATTTTCATTGCACTTAAAAACAAGCGAGGAGATTAGAATTTATTCTCAAGTGGGCGTTAAGCACGATATTGGCTAAAAGGCTTCCCGACGACAAAAAAGTGGGGCATATAGAATTTTGAATGCTATCATTGCTTGATCATTGGCTTCGAGTTTGTGCATAGTTGTGGATTTGGCTGCTCAAACACATGATGGCGCGTGACAGGTGATCAGGGGGTGCTAGGTTATCGAAAGCAGCCGATTTTCGAAATTAGCTGACGTGCGGATATGGGTAAAGTGAGCTCGAATATTGAAATTTTGTCACGCTTTCGTGCAATCCGTGACGTCGGTCCGTTGATACCAAACCGTTTTATACCACGCATCCGAAGCGGCTAACGCATGGCCGGTTACTGCCGTGGAACAGTTCGGCGAATATGGTACCGCTATGTCACCTTAAATAGTTCCAGCGTCGAACCAAATCGGAATCCTTTACTGTCACCAGTACAATTTCCCTCTTCGGCCGTCATAGAATGGCGCCTGAAATATGTAAGTTCACTAAGGACACAGGAACATCCTGTACATAAATATGAAAACCTATGTATAGAACAAAGCGGAAATGAATGTTCGTGGATGCGAAGACCGACTAGGGTTGATCGCTGCATTTTCTCTATTTATACCGTAACTTATTTTTTTTTATTGTTTCTCTTATGTGTTGTGCTAACCGTCTTGCCGATGTCTTAAGCGCGCTTTTACGAGCGCGTCCATTTTTTGTTGTAGTTGTATCGAGAACAATAGTTTGAACTTCGCGGAAGGATCAACTTATACTGGGAGACTTCGAAACACTCATGAAACTAAAAACTTGTCATTTTATTAAAATGTTACAATCCTTATCTTGTTATCTATTATAATTAAACAACAGAGCAAAGTAATATATGATCATTATTTGTCATCAACGCTCTTGTATATTAAGGAGGTATTAAACAAGAAAAATTAAGTGCATTAGCTAAGAAGTTTATATTGATAAAGACTTTGATAATGAAATCCTGAATGAAAATAACTAAAAATGCAGGAACAAAGTGTATTTGAGCGCACAACAATTGAATTTGTCAGATGCAGTTGAATGTTTGTATATCCACCATGATGATTAGATAATAATGGTTCAAACAATCTCGAATAGAGGAAGTTTAAGGAGCCCGAGGTCGTACTGCAAAGCTTGGTTTTGGTCTTGAGCTCGTGTTTCGCATCTATTATAGCAAATGGCATAACGTTTACGAAAAACAGTTTTATCATCATATCTTTAAATTACGTTAGGCGTTAAGGTGGCTGAGGACGAGAAAACCTGTAGCGCTCTCTAAACGCGACGAAAACTATTTCCTCACAGAGAATATTGCATACGTTGGATAGGCGAGGCTGACGCTAGCCAAATCGATGGTCTAAATTTCCTATCTTTGCATATAACAACGGTAAAAATGATCGTGTTAAGAGCGGAGGGCGCAAGAGCGACATGTAAGGCTGAACGCGTCGTGCCGCATCGTAATCTGTAACGTCTTTATTTAGACTATAATGAACTACGTATTCACAAGTGGCTGTTATTAAGCGTCACTGAATAAAATCATGCAGCTTCAATGTGTGCAGAGTTGCTAGAGGACGAATTTTACTGCCGGCCGAATTTGAGCTAAATTTTTTTATTACTCTGTCTGCTTGGTGGTATAATACAACCTCTGTTGTTATTTACTTGTGACTCTTGGTAGACAAAATTGTCCGCGCTACGCAATTCTCGTAGAACCTCAAACTTACATACTCTGCAAATCAGCTCATAACTGATATATGCATAGCCAAGGAGAAGATCGCGGCTATGGCTATAGTAACAATTAAATGATAGTTTAACACGAATATACCAATAACGTATTACCTGTATATAGCCGTAGTGGTCGTACAGAAACACCTCCCCCTATCTCCAGATCGAACCTACGTAGTTTCGTCTCCGTTCCTGGGTTATGAAATTATTTAATCGCGTGATGCTAAACGTCGAAATCAATTCAACATATTTGTATCCGACTACCTCGAACGTTAAACTTGTCATCAAACTCCCTCTGCTCAGTCCATACGGAATACGAAAATAGAAGACAACATAAAGGAAGTGGAATTGACACGGCTACCTGTAAAGTACATTCACATATGATGCCCCTCTCAGTTCCAGTATCAATAACGATGTCGTATAACGGCGCCTGGAAATGCTGTTGGACAGCTAAAAACTTCCACGTCCTACACTTAGTGCCGTTCAGAATCGAGTAGGCTATATGTACAATGCGTTAGTCCTTAATACGATCTAGTTAACGTTGTGTGATAATTTGGCCTCTGATTAGAGTGTTTCTGCTTTGCCATCAGACGCCAGTTAGCCTATAACAGTCTCTCACGTGATCGCGTATTTTTCTAATATGATGACATAGATGATAGTGATTAAGGTTTCAAGACGATAGACCCGCCAAGCATATGAGATTCTTTCTCTTGAAGTTAGTAAAATTGTGGTTATTAATGGCTAAACGAGACAGCAGAAACAAAAGCGATAGTCATGTTACTTCAGGTATTATAGTAAGATTCTGTTTCAGATATTCGACGATAGTGGTCTGAAACGAGCTGTACGGGCCTTTTGTAGAGAAAAACAAAAAAAAAAACAAAAAAAAAAAAAAACGCTAAATGATATAACAGGCCATCCAATTGAACCTGGTCGTTCTTGAGCAACACCACACCAATTTTGTGTACATTTCAGATGTTCGTATAGAAACTTGTTTTCGATTAGAAACACTGCATTACCAAATGCTAGTCCAGCTGATTGTTGAGTGTTTACTGCAATACCCTAGTGAGTTGATTCTATAATGACTGACGCAGCCGATAGCCACCTTTAATGATTCGATCCAAAGAGAACAGAAGATGAAGGCGTAATGATTGACACAAATGGAAATTTGGTAATGGATAATAATGAATGGGCTCATTTTCGATATGGATGTAATCAATGCGTATCTCTGTCTGTACGTTTGTACGACACAAGCGTATTTACGCGTTTTCCACTTTCATGTACTATCGTCTTGCCAAGATAGATAGTAACGTACGGCAACACACACAACATCGTTACTGTAAATTAGTTAACTAATTTATTACCTTTTAGTTTTATCGTTGAGTACCACTGTGCAATACCATACAGACGAGGCGCTATCACACAAAAGCGATCGATTTTATGCCGCATCAACGCAAGTGAACGAGAGACATACAGGAATAATGTGCTCGTCAACAAACACGAAACAGGAACCAGTCTGCGCAAAGTAACGAACAAAAAACTAACCTCATGTGAATAAATGATATACCGATAATAACAATAATAATAATAATAATAATAATAATAATAATAATAGTAATAATAATAATAATAATAATAGTAATAATAAAATGGACGATAAATAAAACATTCCACGAGGCATAGATGATGGCGATCCTAAAGAGATTGTGTGTTCATTGCACGGACCTTGAGAGTAGCGTTTCGGAATCATCGAATCAATTAAGTAGGATCTCCTCGAGTACCTAATAAATACGCTAAGCAAATAGGCTCTAATTTGCGTTTCGTTCGCCATTTTGAATTGATAAATTTTGAATGAATCAATGAACGAAATTGATCTTTTCACGAACCATCAATCACGAATCAGCCCGAGAGTGTTTTATTCTGATACGTATTGGAATTGATTTGACTGGCTTTTATAACTGTAACTGCTACTAAAGACTTTCGGTGGTCACCAACAACGTGATTTTGTCAACTTGGCAAAGAAAAATTGCGCGAACGGCGTTCCGCTTTTAGTCACCGTACTGTCAACAGCAACTCACTGCCGATTTCTGCGCCACGTTTTTTCCAAGAACATAACGAGACCGTATTGTTGAAAAGCAAATCTACCTCGGCCCTGAATTCGCGTCATCATCGTCCAGTATCCTGGCAGAAATCTGCGTTGATTTCTGTGCGGTCAGATATAACAAGGAGCCATTGTTTGGCGCCGTAGCTGAGGTTCCTTTGAAGTCGATAGGCTATAATAGTTTGTTTGGCTATAACTGGAACTCTCGATTCCTTGCAGACAGTGTAAATAAGCGCCATTGGCAGAATAGGTGCATGCTTTCAGGCCCATTCATTAGTATGGCACGTGATACGAGCAACATCTAACTGGCCTGTATTCTAATGAATTCTATTTCTTCCCTTTGTCAAAACGCTACCATTCTGATTCAAGCTACCGCAAAAGTTCATATGTACTCAACATAGAGGTGGCATCGAAGCATTTGCTATTTCGAAGACGCTAACCTTTGCAAGACGCCTTATAATAGTTGAACAATGAGCAGATGAAAAAAGTCTACCGTGTAGCTGAGCTTAAAGCAATGTTACGTTAACGCCATTGATTGGATCAGCATTGAATTAGATCAACGGTGTTATCGGGAACTAGAACGTCACTTACATTACGTAGTCTAAAGTTACGCATTTAAAATGGAACGCGAATCTACTGACGAACAGTCATCTAGTCGTTTCAACAGAGTATACCACTAAATACAGAAAATGAATGCCACTTCGCACTCATACGAACCAGCTAAATATTTAATAAAACAAGTACAATGCTTATCTTTGCTAACTGTCGCTTACCAATATCTGATCTCCTCTCCCTTTTTTTCGTACATTATATTTCTAGACAAATGCAAGTTAGAATCGTCTGAAATCAGCTGAATCAGCGGAATCACGATTAATCATTAAAAAATGGGTCATATAGCACGAACGCAAACTGATCACTCCGGGCTAAAACGACCATCCTCAGTAATCAGCTCAGTTGCTGGGGTTGATACGAGACAGTTGTTCGTCATATGGGGCCTCGTTTATCGACGGCTAGTGATGCACATTTGTCCATATGAATTCCAAGGGGTCCGCGCCCATTTGTATTTTGCTGCGCAAGCATAGAATCGCCTTACGCCTTGTTGTATGCAGTCAAAGCCGAAAATCAGCAGAGGTTGGCTTCCTTACAATCACGTTCTCTATCAGAAAGGATGTTTTTCTTCGATGGCCTGCTACCATATGCCAATGGGATCTCTACCACTTCAACAAGCAGCTTAACGGCTCTAGCAGCCGGTGTAAAACCTCGATCAGGATTATCACGAAGCGATGTGATTTTTGATAGTAGCTATGAATTAAGTTATGGAAACTTTGTATAGATCAATACATTAATCAACCTAGATTAGATTGATGTATCTGCTAATACAGATTTCCGTGTCTGATACAATACGTGGTGGTTTTGATCATGAATAGAGCACTAATTTCGATTATTCATTTTGTTATTGATACTGAGTTGATACCGAGTGTACATAATGCATGTTGAATACATACACTTTGTAATTTGTCGAGAATGCCCCACGTGTTATATTGAAGCTGGTGAAGTCACAGCTAAGCAGATATTGCGTGGACAACTACAGAACACTTTAGCGCAAATAAAAAAGAAAGATATGTTTGTCCTTACTATAGGCTTCTCTTTGCATCCTGCTCGAATTGGCACTTAGCATTTGTCTAATTATTGGAAAATTTTATTTGATATCATACGTATAGATCGGAAGACCCGTATGATCCATTCCGTATGCTTGTTTGATATATACAAACGGTCAGAGATATCAGACGGTCAGAGGACGAAGTCTGTTCATGCAAATATTCTAGAACATGTATTGCTTCGGTTCCTGAACAGCTAAAGGAAGTCCAAGTTTATTTATACTAATTAAAGTAAACGTTTTCATAATAACTGCGATAAACTTTATTATAAATACGAGGCTTTTATTCGATGTTTTGACCCATAGAGAACTGAACAGAGGTACATATGATATTTGTTAGTCCAAGACGTACGAAGAGTTTCCATTTCAATATGTAGAAATAGCATATATATATATAAACTGCATCTGTTCACGATAAACTACGATAAGTGTTCTTGGAGGCATTTGGTGTTACTACGGGCTGATCTTCGCAGAATGTCTAATAAAGTGGCGAATAAAATATCGTTACTAATTCTGCTTTCGAGAATTTCTGTAAACGTATTTGATTTTAGTCTATTGAAATCGGGAGAGCTCTACGTTCAGTGCGGCCTATTCTCTTAATGAAACGCAGTATCCAGGTAGATCTCGTCAAGGTACCCTGGACGAAACATGTAGCATCTTACGTTTAAAGACGAAGTTTGCGGCATCACAGCTAGAGGTATTATTAACTTCCACAGACAGGTATATTTTACGCTTGACAACAGAAAACAAACTATCATTCGCTGCTATACTGAGAATAAATACGTACAACCATTGACTTAATCTCAGTTATATAATGCAATGAAAGCAGTACATGTCCCCCATAGGAATAGAAATAGTAACAATAATAATTCAACAAGCAACAAGTATACAACAAACGACGCTCAAATTTCGAATAATAGTAAGCCATGTTTATAGTGTGCTCATTGAAGCAGGTTTACTCTTTTGAACTCAGTTGAACCCAACAACTAAAAAAAAAAAACTCTAAATACAGTTCAGTTAAAAGAAGAGCATCCTTTTCCGCAGAGGCATGCTGGTCTTTTGGATCTATCTACCTATCTATCTATCTATCTATCTATCTCCAATCAACTATCCTTAACCATGATAGGGACAGCGCTACCTAAAATGAGGGCGTCTGGATCAGCCTCCTTGCCCACGACTTTCTTACAACGGTTTTAGCGGAGCAGCGCAGACAGCCAGGCGGGTTGCTGAGGCAGAATGTGTTATGGCTCGCGCCTGTCGTAAGTCGCCGGATGGGGAATCAAAGGTCGACTCAGCTTGACTAACTTCTACAGGGAAACGAGAGAAAAAAAGAAAATCTCTGGAGAGCGACTACGACAAAGGACAACCGAGCAATAATACATCGCTGTGATTGGCAGTCCCCTAAATCACGATGCGCTTAGAAACCTTCTAAGAAAACTGAATGATTACACCGATGTCGATTCGTGCTTGAGCCATACGCGAGACGTGTCTTATAGACAGTAAGTACAAAGATCCTCAGATTTGGTTTTAGTATTCGGATCAGCATTTAGTCCTTAACTAGTTGAGTGGCTTCAAGGAGGAGGACCCTTCTTGCAAATGAGAACGTCTACGTATTGAGACGCATTGGAAGGCCGAAATTATGCCACGATGGCTCAATTTCAATTCAAATAAAGGTCCGAACAACGCCATACATTGGTACATCGAGTTCTAGGTCAGTCTGATGCTCAGCAGATCCTCATATAGTGCGCAAAATCGACTGTTCCCAGAAATACATTCCCAGTGTCTAGTTCGTACAAAAGACAACCGTAAATCTCTATGCCTAGGCCTCAAGTAAAAGATCAACAGGTCATGTTGCTTAACCATAATACAAGAACTACCCATTTTCTGTTCTGTGTTAGGTGTGCTTGTTAACATATTCGTTGTTGGCTAGCAGGAACATCTCCAATTTTTTATGCTAGGAGAGCTTCTTTTCAGATGTGCCATTGCTTTACGTACGAAATTACATGTACTGTAAAAAATCTGCACATGGCCTTTAAATAAAGGCCATGGGCAGATTTTTTGCAAAAAACAAAACCTGACTGTTCGCGATTTTATCTATCCATCTAGAATACTATAAGCTTCCACTAGAGACGTCCTATGTATGCG